TCTATACTATGGAAGGAGACTGCGACCATAAAAAAGACCACACCATCTTGGTCTTCATACTTTCAAAATTTAGGTTATTTACCGGTTGCTTGATTATCAATTGGTTAAGCGTCGATATCGCTGAATAGATGTGATTGATTTCTGTTTTAGCTTCTTCGTGTTCGTGCTATTAGCATGCACCTTTATCTATTATTGATATATTCAACTAAAGCATTGGTCTGATATATACTGCCTAATTTAATTTTTAAGGAAAACTTTTATTTGGAATTTCTTTTCCGATAATTCTGATTATAATGAAACATACTGGCTAAGGAATATCTAACTTCAGTTTGTTATATCTGATTTTGGGTATCCCACACAGATAAACCTCGGATGGACTAATTTGGGATTTTAAAGTGAAATAGTACTTGTATCGCTTCCTGTACCTCATTCTAATTTCATCTTAAGTATACTTGACAAAGTATCTACCTCTAGCAAGCCTTCTTTTAACTTTTTGTTAAGTTGCTTTCATGATAAAGTCATTGGTATACTTTTGTGATAGATTTACTGTTAGATAAGCACTTTTGCATCATTATTGTTCAGATTTTAGGAAGCATTTTTAGTATACCTTTAATCATTTACTCTTACATTGCTTGTTTTATTGGCAAATAAAAATGCAGTGGTTGCCAAGGATTTGGGGGATTGAGAGTAAGGGGGTCCCTTAAAGAGGTCACTTGGTCTTTTCAGATGCCGGAATCTTTAAATTCTGACCCAAGGGTCGCGAGATTCGTATTTTTTTCCACTTTTTATCAGATCGTGGAGTTCGGGTTGCCCTCACTAGCTGATTTCACGAAGGGCCTCTTGTTGTAAATTCCTTATAATTTACTCCATTGGCTCTACTGGTTGTAGTTTCTATGCTCTCACCTAGTTATAAGGGGTGTCGGGTCATGATGGTGATGATGGTGATGATGGTGATGGTAAAGATGATAATGATGGTACTCCTGTCGTTCATCATTCAATGTCGAGTTGTTGCTTATTCGGGAGTCAGTCGTCTTTTGGTAGGCAATCTTGCTACAGCACTCCTTTTCCTCACTTCTCGTTTGTATTGATTCAGTCACTGGGATCTGATAGGTTTGAAATGCATTCCCATTTCTCGAAATGTTTGTCTCAGTCTGTATTATAGATTTTCTTATAATATCATTCTCGAGTTGTTGGCCCCCCTCAATTATACACTCTGTGTGCCAATTCTGGTTATTTAGCAAGTCTCTTTGCTGCTTAGGTCTCCAGAAGCTTCTTTTTTGCAGTACTGATATTTCTTCTGGTGTCGCGAAAGGGCTGTCAGTATTGGATTGGTGGACATTGTCCAATACTTCCACTAATCTGCTTAGTTCCCAACTGGCCTCTTGACTGGAGTCGGTGGAGGCCAAGTTTATCTTTGCCGATTTGGTTGTGCCACCTCTCGCCTGAATTTCTCTTGGTTTATCCAGCAGTTCTCTAATGATCTAAATTAGAAATCAGAAATGAGCCACTTAATAAGCAATATAAAATACCTATGAACTAAAATAGTAAAAGCTGTTTTCTAAAGAACTGTTTAAGTTGCAATTTTGTATAAATATTACTCGTGATAAGAAAGAACTATAAATGAATTTACATT